GGGCTCTTTTAACTTTAAAAAAATTATATTTTATTATTTTTTATTATTTTATGTGTATGAGTGTATTGCCTGCATGTATGTAAGTGCACTGGTGTCATGTTGTGTAGTGCCTGAGGAGGTCAGAATAGGGTGTCAGAGCCCCTGAAACTGGACTTTCGTATGGATGGTTGTTAGCCACCCTCTAGGTGCTAAGAACTGAACCCAGGTCCTTTGCAAGAGCAGCCAGTGCTCTTAAACTGCTGAGCCATCTCTCTAGCTCCTTTTAATTTTTCAATGCTCCTTTTCCATGAAATAAATATAATTTTAGAGTTCCAACCTATCAGTTTTTTATTTTGCAGTCTATTTGTGATGTTCAGAAATAGCTTCCCCATTCTAGCATACGAAAAAATATATAATTTTTTTCACATTTTATAGTTACTCATATTAGTCTTTGATATAAGGAACAAAATAAGAATCTTATTTTGAAGTGCTAAAGATTGAACCCAGGGCTTCTTGCTTTGTATCACAGAACTAGTTGGGGTTTTTGTTTGTTTGTTTGTTTGTTTTTCAGATGAGTCTCATATGGTCTAGGGTAGCCTTGAACTCATTATGTAGCTGAAGCTTACCTTGAACTCCTGATCCCCCTGCCTCTGCGTGCCTAGTACTGAGAGGCACTGACAAGCATTCAATATTGTAGAATGAGTGATCTGGAGAAGCAGTGTTGTACAATGAAGGTTCAGATATTTCATAGTATCACCAGTCAGTGTTAAGACTTATAATTGATTTCTTTTTCACAATGTTTTGTTTTTAATGTGTAGTTAATAATACTTTGTGGACTGGTGAGATGGCTTACTGGATAAAGACACTTGCTGCCAAGGCTGAGGACCTGAGTTCACTCCTCCAGAACCACATCGTGGAAGGAAAGAACAAGTGGGAGTTATTTTATCATTATTTTGAAAACAGTTGCCTGATGAATGAAAGGTTCTAGTGTCTTTGCTTTTTTAAAGCAATTGATATTGGACAGACATTGCAGCTTAGGAATCCCTGTGATAAAGGAGTTAGAAAATACTATATAATTCTATGTTATTGAAATTACCTATAATTTTATAATCAGATTTACTGATAAAACATTATTTCAATTTATTAAATTTAGGATTTAGTTTACCAGTAATCTATAAACATTTTTTGGTGGGGGGGGTTGTTTGAGACAGGGTCTCACTGTAGCCCAGCTGGCCTGGAACTCACTATGTAGACCAGGCTGGCCTTGAACTCACAGAGATCAACCTGCCTCTGCCTCCCAAGTGCTGGGATTAAAGGCATGCACCACCACAACAGCTCTCAGTTATAAGCTTTAAACAGACTATATGCTGTTGTGTAAGTATGGAGTGTTTTGAAAAAAAGAAGTAGAAGTATTCCCAATTCCTAATCAAATCTAAAGTGTTTTTCTGAGGTAGGACAGGCTTTTCTATAGAAATACCTTATACATATTTGAGTAGATTAGTAGATCTCTTCACTGACTATTTTTTCAACTCATAAGCACAAAAAGTATTTGGTTTCTGTGTGGGTGTGTGGTTTCTCTAATTTGTGTATTTTAGAGCAAGTGTATCTGATAGACCTCCCATATTCAGCAGTTGTAGAAACTAGAGATGTATTCAGGTCAAATTCTTTTCTCTGTCTCTCTCTCTCTGTCTCTCTGTCTCTCTCTCTCTCAAAATTAATTTCTTTATTAGGGTAGGAAACACACTTGCCATCATGTGCATGTGGAAGTCAGAGGACAGTTTGTGGGAATCTATTCTCTCTTTCCACCATGTTGGTTGTGCAGGTCAAACTCAGGTCATCAGGCTTGGTGGCAAGTGCCTTTACCCATCAAGCCATCTCTCTAGCCCTCACATTTGAATTTATTTATTTATATATCCTTTTAAATTTTTTTATAGTTAAAACAATTATTTTTATTTTAAGTATATGGAGTATTTTGCTGCTTGTATGTAAGTGCACCCGTGCATGCAATGCTCATGGAGGCCAGAAATGGGCATTGGATCCCCTGGAACTGAAGAGTTACAAATGATTGTTAGTTGCCATATGGGTGCTGGGAACTGAACCCAGGTCCTTTGCAAGAACAGCCAATGCTCTTAACTGCTAAGCCATCTTTCTAGCCCCAGAACATTTTTTTTAGCACCACATTTTTGTAGAAACACTGATTAGAGACAATGGTGTCTTAGATCAGGCCAGCAAATGTGTAGATGGTAGGAAATGGTGAAATTGTGGAGTCAATGAGAGTTGCTGATAGAGTGGCTGGGCATTGTGAGATGGAAAGGAGTAAGTCTGAGGCCATGGATGGAACAGATATTAGGGTAAAGAGTTAGGATTCTATTTTTGTCATCTTTGATATCTCATTAGATACATAAATCTGAAATTTAAGAGTTCTTCATGTATAAATGTAGGAGTTATTGTCATGGAGATAATGTTTAAAACCATGAGAGTGAAACAACAAAAAGCAACAACAAAAACCAACTCCCCCAAACAGGAAAAGAACAACAACAAAAATAAGTGGTGGCACATGGCTTTAAATCTCAGTACTCAGGGGCAGGGACAGATGGATTTTTGTGCTTTTGAAGACATCCTAGTCTGTATAGTCTCAAAACAAATAAGCAATTATAAAACTGTGGGGTCTGGAGAGATGGCTCAGAGGTTAAGAGCACCGACTGCTCTTGCAATAGACCCAAGTTTGGTTCATAGCACCCGTATGGCAGCTAACAACTGTCCATAACTACAGTTCCAGGGGATCACACACCTTCTTTTGGCCTCCGTGGTAATTGCACACACATGGTGCACTCACATACACGCAGGCAATACAATCACACACAAAAGGAACAGAACGAACAAGAAATCCTAAAACCAGGAGAATAGTGGTATCACTAAGGGATGGAACAAAGGTCAGTAGGAACTGAGCCCTGGTCCATTCTGCCTTCTAAGTAGATAAGGAGTGAAGTTTATACTAAGAAGGATTAACTAGTAATGTGGGATGAGAAAATGATATCAGAATCTAAGTGAAAATATGATAAAATGAGGAGAGGTGATGCACTGAAAAGGCCGGTAAGATGAAGACTGAGAATTCTTTCCTACTGTCTTCCTTTTCTTTCTAAGGCAGAGACTTTGTGTATGCTGAACCTCTTCCAAGAACACTTTTTGATTCCTTCTTTGATTAGTGAGTATGTTTATTATTCACGCTTCAGTCTTTCTAAATCTATATATAGCTATAGATAACATTTTAAGCTCTCAAATCTCAAAAATGAATACTTATTCTATACTATCTTAATACCCAGTACTTCCCTATAGACGTTCTTTAAAAGTACATCTGTATTTGCTGTTATATAGCCACAGTCCAGCCCAGTGTCTATTACGTGTACACACTCAAATTCATATATTTGAATACATGGAAAAATGGAATTCAAGGGTTTGGTCAGTGAATCATTTTCAACTACAGTTCTCTATAGGGCAAATATTTAACTATCAAAAACAGTTTTTTGTTTGTTTGTTTGTTGGTTTGTTTGTTTTTACTGTGATTTAGCTCCAAAGCCGAATGTACCACCCTGGCACATTGTTTCCACCAAATTTCTTGGTGATGTATTTTAAGTTTTTCATATTCTTTAACACAGTTTTGTTTTTTACTTAAGAGGGGGTCAGTAAATTCTAGTTGAATTTATTTTCTACCCAACTGATTACAAAAACATCATCTTGACCTTAGAGATGAAAAATTAAAACTTTCCTCCATTCTCTTCTCACGTGTCGCTTTCCTTTGTTTTGTTTTGTTTTTTGAGGCAGTATAGTTCACCATAGCCCTATCTGGATTCAGATTTAGGCAGTATTCATGCTGCAAACCTTCCCAAGTGCTGGGATTCCAGGCATGAGCCACTATTCCCAGCTCAAGTGTTCCTTTTTTAAGATAGTTATTTAAAAATGAACTCTACTAAAATTTTTAAATATTTTATTTGTTATTTTTATTTCATGTTTATGAATGTTTTGCCTTCATGGCAGTAAGTGTACCAATGCTTACAGTGCTCACAGAGGCAAAGAGGGTGTAGGATCCCCCTGGAACTGGAATTTTAGATGGCTGTTAGCTGTCATATGGGTGCCAGGAATTGAACCCGGGTCAGTTAATCAGTCCTCTGGAAGAACAGCAAGTGTTTTTGTTTGACTAAAATTTTTGAGTTAATAGTTATTGTTCTGATTATTTTATTTATTTATCTTTTTAACATTTTGTGTGTGTGTGTGTGTGTGTGTGTGTGTGTGTGTGTGTAAGGACAACTTCATGGAGTCATTTCTTCCATATTTACATGGGGTCCAGAGATCACACTTGGACTATCAGGCTTATGTGGCAAGCACTTTTACCTGCTGACTCACTTTGTTAGCTCTATAACAGGATTTTTTTCTAGCACCTAAGAAATACACTCCTTAAAAAAAATTATTCGAGTTTGAGGTCAGCCTGGTCTACATAGTAAGTTCCAGGACAGCTGGGGCTGCAAGGAGACCCTGTCTCAAAAAAGACAAAAA